AGAAGGCGTAACTTTTATTCTCGCTGTAGAGTTGTTGCTGTCGCCATGTCGTGAAGGCGCTGTGCGATTCATGGTGAAAGCGAAACTACTTTGTTTGGCCTTCCAAAAGAGGACGATATCTGCTTCGTCATGCCTGGAGCTGATCCGTGCTGGTTGCTGAGGAAATACTAAGTTACTTTTTCAAATAAGTAATGCCAGTTACTTTGTTGTCCCATATACTGACTGACAGCTCTCCTGTCCGCATGTTGAGAGAAATCGGAAGTGCAGAGGCACTGTGTAAACATGATGGTTATGGTTACTGTACTTCTAGACCACTACTGCGCTGTGGATCGCCGGATCGGCTTTCACCGTGGACAAAGCGGAGTCCAGCCCGGGGTCGTCACATGTGGTTGCCGCAAGCCCGCCGGACACTCCTTCGTCGAATCCACTGCCTCTGCTCACTCTAACCCTCCGGCCGTTTTATGGAAGACCGTTTCCTGATTCTGTGAGAGTAGACTACAATGACGGCTGTTCTGACTCAAAGACTGTAAGTAAGTTTTTATGAAATATAATAGGGATAACAAAGTTAAAGTTTAATGTTTGATGAGAGGACTAAAATCAAAAGTTGATCACAATTCATCTAGGTGCCTCAAGTAACCTTGTAACACATATTTAAGTGTGACTACATTTAATATATTTAAGTGCAAATAAAATGCAATGTTTTTGTATACTGCATGTTAATTGCAATAACATTTACATACATTATAGTTTTAATTTATAAGCAGTTACAGTAGAGGTTTTTTTGACCCACTTAAGACCTTATATGTATATTTATTAGTGCTGGGCAACGATTAATCGCGATTAATCGCATCCAAAATAAAAGTTAGCCGCATTTGACAGGGTATGCCAGCCACAATCTCATCCATATTGCTATAAAATATAGCATTCTGTGTAGAATTCAAATAGCTCCAATACATTTTGTGGTCTGCGCCGACTCGCGCATGTGATCCGCTCCGTGCTATCGTGTCTCTGGACCGAAGCAGAGTGTGCGTGCGGTGCGGTGGTTAGCGTGAAACAGCTATGGAAAGCATATTTACACTGTTTGAATAGTTCCCTGTCCCCTATATAGTGCACTACGTGCCATTCACTGTACAGAAAATACTAATTCTGTGGACAAGTGACCGATTTCAGTCGCGGCTTCAGCGTCCATTTTATAGTGTAGGGGACGGGCGCTTCGGATTCTAGAGAGCATTTGATTGGACAAAGTTTGATGAGAAGCTGAAGTATGATGTGACGTCAAAAATTGTTGTGCCATTTTGGCGGAAGGGACGAACTGCAAGCTTTGAATGCTTATATATTCTAAATGCGAATTTTGTCACTGTTTTGGAGCACACTGCCTTATAGATAACCTTAAGACTAACATATTGATACTAACACCCAAAAAATAAAATTTTGATTTCATGGGGACTTTAAATATAATTTTGGAATGACAAAATTGCAATTAAGTACAAGCACATTCAATACAACTGAGGATACCTCATTTTCACAATGATATACAAAGTCATGCAGTTCAGAATGTTTAAATTGCATAATAGTGTTTATAAAAAAAATTAAGTTAGTTAAAAATATATTTTAGGAAAAAAAAAATATTTTTTATGAATAATATATAAAAATGCATACAAATATATGCTCTAAATATTTTTTTTTATTTTGGTTTAGTAATGGTTAAAGCCCTTGAGGAACAGATGTAATCTAGCTGACTGCTTGGTCTCTGTAGCCCAGCCTTTGGCTCTATCGCCCACTATCCAATCTGCTACCTGACACCCATCCAGCCTTATTGTTTTTTTTCAGGGTTGATTCTGAAATGGCAAAGATCTCAGCAGGTTCCACCTCATCGGCCATATTAGGAAAGCGCAAGTTGTGACATTTAATAACATTGTGGTCTGTGAGTCATCCAGCATGTGTGGGTGTGTTATTGGGTGTACAGGTGCACGCGTATTTGTGTGTGTGTGTGTGTGTTTGTTTGTTTGTTTGTCTGGAGCAGCTTATCTATTTCGCAGAGGCATCAATCTCAAAACTATCACGGACTGCAGTGTGTCATTCTCCGCTCACATAAGTCATTCTCAATATCTCATTCTAGCCATTCCTAGGATTAATAATTCATTATAACTAAGACTGTGACCAAAATAACAACAACACTGCAAGTTCGACAGGTATCTGGACGAGTAACTCATCTTTTATAGTGTAATAAATGTCGTACCTGTAGAGTTTGAGGGTGACCGTTCCATAGACAGTGGCAAATCCGAGCAGACGAACCCATCGCAGTAGTATACAGCGGAAAACACTCGGCTGGAAGTACAGAATCACCACCTAGAAGATAATTAATATGCATTTATTTTAATATCTGGATATCTATTTATTCAGATAAGAGGATGTTTGATATGAGACCCCTACTGTTTTGATGATCACAAGATGAAAAAGTAGTTTTATTTGATAAATTAAAAACCACTAGAAAAAGAGCAAGTAAGGGGTAATGTATAGTCTAGATGTTACCATAAAAGAACGCCATAACTAAATAATCACAATTTAATAAGCTGCGATAGAAGAAACTAGAAAATCTAATTAACTACATATACTCATTAATTAATCGCTATATATAATAATATTTGCTGAGAAAAGCCCTGTATATATGTACATAATAAAAGCCCTGTATATAACAATGTCTGCAACCTTTTTGTGGCAAAAGAATATCTTCTCACTGTTTTTTAGCATCTCGCGCCATGAGCAGCACATTATGTTCCATTTTGTTATGCTTCACCCAGCTGTCAAATTTCATTGCATTTTTTTAACTGATTATACTAAAATAACATGAAATTAAACACATTAACTTACAAATAAATAAACAAACAAACAAAAAATGACACACTTAAACATCTTTTTATTGTTGAATTCGTATAAGGAACTAATGGACAATTAACATCCTATCAGCAGCTTTTCTCTCTCTCTCTCTCTCTCTCTCTCTCTCTCTCCTGAGGTCACCTGAAGGTGCATAAATCAGAAATTCACTTTTCATTTCTTTGCTCGTCACTCCATCCAGAATTGCATCAAGCCTTAAACCTATTACAAAATGCAAACACTCTCTATGATGTGTCAGTGATGTGCGCTTTCATTGATCTTTCCATCCATCATCCTGATCTGTCATAGTTCTCCAAACAAACCCGTCAGATGCCAAGGAATCTAACTGAGAATTCCAGCACATCACCGCAGTTCCATTGCATCCACAGAGAGAAAGAGAGAGAGAGAGAGACAGACACTAAAGGTGAACTGTAATTGAAGCAGAATCTCACAGCTGTGCCGCCCCCTCTGTCCCCCCCGCGCTGGCCTCCGCTCAATCTCTCTATGTGCAAACAGTGATGCGACGCTCTGTGTGTAATCTAATAACAACAGTCTGCTCACTTCTCAGGAAGCTCTATTATTGGATTGATTATGAAAAAATGATTCCGAGCAGATGAATTGCTCCAGCACGGACTCTTCTGTCTTAATTAAGTTGAGGAAAACTAATGACAGACACCAAGGCACATCCGTAGGGGGGCTCCTGCAGACCCTCACAGCTCTCTAACACACTTCTACAGCTACCACACAAATCTTAGAGGCTGACATGATCGAATAGTTAAGATGCATATCATCAAATATTTATTCTGCTATTTAAAGTCAACATGAGAAGCTGTTCAGCATTGGTAACTCATTTAAGGGCGAGACTATATTTTATCCAATTGAAATTAGATAAAGATAAAGACAACTACTATTTAAAAGTCTTACCACCAAAACATACAACAGGCAAAACATAAATAATTAATTTTTTTGTTTTATATATATATATATAAAGACATGCAGATGAAGATACATTTGTAATGTCAAGCTTTTTTTGTGTGTGTGTAAAATAAACTAGAATAATACGTTTGAATCCTTCAGTTATAGACATTCAGTTGCCCTTTCATAACGGTTATCACAACATAAAAAAGCACAAGATTAACTCTTAAATAAAATACATGGAAGTCATTTTCAAAGCATTGTGTTTTTGTCTTTGATCTCAAGTCTTTCCATTGCATTTACTCGTGTCACCGGCAGATGTCCTCTGTGTTTCGAGCGCAGTGAATCATTTTGTGAAGTAAATGGTTGAACTGATTCAAAGTATGGTTCACTGTTTCAGAAAGCTTTAGTCCTCCCATCAGAACAGCAGCTCCTTATCCATCAATACTATTTTATGAAGCAGTCAAAGAGGTATAACATACCTGGGCTGCTTCCCATGACCATTATAAAATAATCTATTAGCACCAATGGTCTTTACATTGTACTTGGGCGTACGATGTTTTGGGAAACGCAGCCCTGGTCTGGTGCACTAGAATGGTGTAGTTATGGCATCTACTAGCAGGTTCTAACTGCTAATGCTAATCAGTCAAACCTGACCTTGCCAAAATGGTCCACTTTATGCACAGTGTTGGGGGAAACGCATTACAAGTGACACAAGTTATGTAATCAGATTACTTTTTAAGTAACTATTGAAATAACACATTACTTTTAAGCATACAAGAAAATATCTAAGTTACTTTTTCAAATAAGTAATGCCAGTTACTTTGTTGTCCCATATACTGACTGACAGCTCTCCTGTCCGCATGTTGAGAGAAATCGGAAGTGCAGAGGCACTGTGTAAACATGATGGTTATGGTTACTGTACTTCTAGACTAAATGTGAACATGCATTTCTCATCTCACTTGCACAAAAACAGATTCGGTATTCCTCAAAATAAATAAAAACAGTGAAATGCTAACTCAGAATATGATGCACATCTGCAATAATTAAAGGTAAAATGGAAAAATAATAATAATAATAATAAAAAAACATCCTTTAAGCATTATTACCATTGTTTTATCCAATGTCTTTGTTGCTGACTGCTGACCTTCGATGATCCAAATTAACCATAATAATAAGCAAAAATGACTTCAGAAAAACCATATTTGTTTCATTTTTTTTTCTTTTATTGGTGAAGAGTGTTGACCTTTCTTCTCCTGCATCCTATTCTTTACGCAATCCAAAATAGCAGCACTGCTGAAAGGTTTGTTTGACTTGAATTTACATTTCCTGCTGCCGATGGCTTATTCATTTCACTTTAGGTGTATAAGCGCTTTTACATGTGCTCGAAAAATTGAACTTTTTATATTAAAAACAAACAAGTAAGCTCAGCCCAGATGAGAAAAAAGTAACACAAAATTAACGTAACACATGACTTTCAATAAAAAGTATCTAAGTAACACAATAATGTAATGCATTACTTTATTAAAGTAACTTTACCCAACTCTCTTTATGTGTATATTACTGTGATAGATGGTCATTACTCTGTGTAACCAAAGTGTGTTTAGGGTGCCAACATGAAAAAGGGATGTTTCATAAAGGCACAGTGACAAAAATGACTGCACAATTGTAAGGGTCAGAGAGAGGGTGGAGAATGGATGTGGGAAGCTAAACTCAGATAAATGTATTGACCCCTTTAAATGCAATTCTAACATCCAATGGGGCAGGAATGTGTTTAAGATGTAGTGTGTGTGTGTGTGTAATAGCTGCCTAAGATTTTTGGCAGAAGTGTGTGTGTGTTGTGCTTGTCAGGGGAGCATCCAGTCGGCCAGCTCTTAATTAGAACTGGGAGTACCACACGCCTCCAGCAAAACTCTCAACAGTTTTAACCAGCCACTGACAAACCATACAAAACTAACACTTTACACCTCCTCATAAATATCTGATGCAGAGTAAACAGCACTCCTCTCAAAAATGATTTCATTGTCAGCCTAATATTCATTTCAACTAAAGTGACATCTCTGTTGAAACCTGTACCCTGTCAGCAATATATAGAATGTACTACAGGAGTGACTAGAACCGCAGTATTTCAAAGGCCTGTAATGTGTCAAAACGCAATTCATAGCGCAATGCAAGTATGCACAGCATCTCAGCTTTGTTGCAAAGGGAAGCTAGGGTGAGTATTAGCATAAACTGTCATCTTCTACATTTAGTTTCCCTTTTCAGGTCAGCTAATGTGAAGCAGCAGTTTGAAGAGAATCTTGCTGAGCAAGTGAAAGTTAGTTAAACTGTCAACGGATATAATAACTTGAATAACGCATTCGATGTAGTGACACAGAAATATGAAGATAACTCTATGGCCCCATTCAGCAGTGACGTTTGTATCTGTCAGACAGATAAAAGAAAGTGCATTAAATTTGTACAACGGGACAACACACTAACAACACATTGGGCTAGTCTGTAGCTGTGTACTGAAAATATATTTTGAGTATGTTTTTAGGAAACTGCTTTGTTACAATTAAAGACTCAGAATTGAATTCTTGCATAGTGCACATTGTTTTATATACAGTTCTACATACTGAATACTTTCAAATTATATAAAACAGAACACAGTCTGCAACAATACACAGTTTAAACAATAGTATGCTACAAGGTTGTCACATAATATAGACCAGCAGTGTAAAATTTGCATTCTGTCAAAGCGTGTGCAGGATGTAATGATGATCATCGATTTTATACGTTTGTAGCGTCTCGACCAATCTGACACACTAATTTTAATTTGATTTAACAAATAAATTATTCATTAGATTAACAAATCGTCACAGTCCCCTCACTCAATAAACTGGATGCCAGGATTTCTGCTGAACACCAGGCCCTCTGGTCACCATGACAACTAATCCTGATATCACGGTTTTATGACCCCCCAGGAATGTGAGTAGGATAACCCACTCTTTGTCCCCATAGGAAAGACAGAGCAGAAATTGACTTTTCTTTGCTAATTAATTCATAGGAAAACCTTTCTTTGAATGAACACACATATTATTCAGGCCATTGTGTATATTATTGCTGTTTTGTATTAATCTGTTGTATTATAGACTATTTTATTCATGCTTACGATAAACCACTCATTCATATAGGTTTCCATAAAATTCATTCTTTATGCCTCTTTCTGTACTGAGTTAAACTTTAACCCTTTCCTATACCAACTGTATGTGTGTGTGTGTGTGTGTGTGTGTATGTTAGACCAGTTTATGTGTGTATGTAGTATGTTAGACTAGTTTAAGCGTTTATGTAGTTAATAAAACCTTACTTGTATCACACTTGACGTGTTCATTGTTTGCTCATAACCGGAGTCACTAATCATGCAGATTTACGCTACAAGCTTTGTAGAATTGTACAGTAAGAAAGTTATTTCCCTTAACCAGGAAATTAACGTTCTTAGAATTGACAAGACAGTTGACCCTGAGAGGTCAGCTAAATATCTACAGCGGATCTAAAATATGAATAGTTAATTATAACTA